ACCCACGCGACCCTGAAAAGGATGAAGTGTACAGAAAATGGATGGATGGATGATAATGGCACAACTTAAAAAAAATGTTATTAAAAATTTTTTCACCTAATTATTTGAGATTTTTCACAAGATGAAACACTTTTAGAAAACACACATTTTCTAATTTATTTAAACTGTAGTTTTGTCATTTATTTGGTTGTGAGTTCATTATTTCGACCCCCCCTCATAAACCCCATGCTTTTTTAAAAAGAGAAATCTACTGTCATTTCAACCCCTAAATGCCATGGGAATATATATTTTTATTTAGTTTGTTATGTTTGTTTTATTAGTTCATTGTTTCCCATGCATTAAAAAAAATAAAAACCAAATTAACAATGTAGAGAAATTTTTTGAGGACCGCCAAGATACCTCTCACAGACCCCTGGGGGTCCTGGGACCCCAGTTTGAGAACCTCTGTATTATTTCACAACTCATATCCTCAGTTTGTCTTCAATGTTAATTAGACCAAAAATAACAATTAAAATTTTCTGCAAAAATGCACTGTGACCACTGACAGCTGAAACCAACTTTTATTTTAAATATGTGATTTAAGACTTTTGCACACATACAAACATAAACTAATGTATGTGTTTACATTTTAACTTAATTTATAACTAAATACGTTTATTTGTTTTATGGTAATGCCTGAATAAAGTGGGTTTTATATATATATATATATATGTGTATATATATATATATATTCTTCCTGACAGCCAGGGGTCGCTGTTCCCCACCTGGCCGTCAGGGGTCGCTGTTCCCCGCCTGGCCGTTTGGCGGCGCTGCGGTCCGTCTGTTGAGATTGTTGCCGGAAGTAAATCCTTGCTTTTAAAGAGGGAAAAAAAAATCTTCTCTGTCAACATGTGGGGTTTGTTTTAACTTTCACGAGGCGCTGAATTAAATTAAATTAGTCTTTAAATTCAATTAAAGATGGGGAAAAAAGGAAAGAAAGAGAAGAAGGTGAAGGGAGCGGAGAAAACTGCGGCCAAAATGGAGAAAAAGGTCTCAAAGAGGTCCAAACGAGAAGAGGTAACGTTGAACTCTGATTTATTTGTTCATGTTTGGGATCATTTTAAATATTTTTTCCTGCTTTTTGAGTCTCAGACTGTTTCGTTTGTGTCTCCAGGAGGACATGGAGGCTCTGATAGCAGAGTTTCAGACTCTGGATGCGAAGAAGACGCAGGTGGTTGAGACGAGCTGCCCCCCTCCGTCCCCCAGGTCCGGGACAGTTTGACGGGTTTACAGTGTAGGATTAAAACTTTTACTGACTGAAGGAATAAATCCTGACAGAAAGGATTTTCTGTGTTTCAGGCTGAACGCGTCTCTTTCTGCTCATCCTGAGAAAGATGAACTCATCATGTTTGGAGGAGAATATTTTAATGGAAAAAAGGTAGAAAAACTAAATCGATTCTCTTTTTTTATTAAAAAAAGTTATTTACAGATGAAGACTTTTTGAACTGGGTGGTTTATTTAATCATTTATTATTATATTTGCTTGAATTTTTTGTTAATCTGACATTTTGTTTATTTCAGTATCTTTTCCATTTTGACATAAATTGCAGTTATTTGTGACCGGTCACATCGAAACAAGGATTAAGTCTAAAAGTGATGTATGGGGAAATAGGCAAATATAGTGTTTTGATTAAAACGTTTGCAAAAACTGCATTTTGTCAAAACTTAATGAATAAAATAAAAAAGAAAAAAAATAGTATAGGTCCTCTGGATATGGAAGCGATTGTGTTCCATAATCCTAATTAAAATGGATTAATAGAAATGCTGTTTCATTTTCAACATGTACCTGATTTTTTTGACTCATAAGTAAAATTATAAATACATAATCCAAACTGTATGTTCATTTTCTTCTCCAAGAC